CACACCTGCTCCTCCTTACTACATCTCCCCGCGTCCCTGTGCCGATCGTGGATGTGGGCGGGCGGTGAATTTGAGGCGGGGAGGAGGTGCGGTGTAGAGAGCGTGGATGTGGTCGGGCAGGTCTGGCAGCGGCGAGCGTGAGGTGTGTGGAGCCGTGAACAGGGCCAACTGATCGGAAGCCGATTAATCGATTATTGAAAAAGTTGACAACTTTTTCAATCGATTATAATCGATTATGTTGATTAGTTGTTGCAGCCCTAGTGAAAAGTACTGAGCCCTTATCAGGGCAATATATAGAATTTGTCATGTAGCTGCCAAGGAGGGAGTGAAGGAGAAAACTGTTGAGTGTCACTTGAATTGGCTAGGGCTACTGACATCACATACAAGATGGTGGTGCTCAGCAGCAGTATCGGAGCTTTTGGATGGCTACACAAGGGAGGTAAATAACTTGCATGAAATATGTTAAATGCACATGTAATCTTATGGGAAGATTTGTTCTTAAAATGGCCTGGTGACAGGATCCCTTTAAAGACTCTCTTGTATGTCCCAATAAAGTGCACTGGAAACCACCCGCTGGGTGAAAAAGGGACCATCTCACTTTGCCCCCCCCCACCCTATCAGAGATAACCAGTCTAACCAACCAATAGCAAAGGATTGACAAGCGTGCATTTTCCTTGCTGTGGTGATATCAGCCTGCATGCCGTTCAGCATGTAAGGGGTACTCTGGGAGTGGTTTCCCTAAAAAATGGGGGTCCCCTTTACAAGAGTACTGGTGATCACTTTTGATAGGGGTCCATCCCTCCCAATGTATCGCTGGCCAATGCTTAATGCTCTCTATCAGTGCAAACAGTCCACCGCTCCAATTCTCAGGCTACTTCAATCATTAATCACCACGGGTGCAGATAATATAGACACGCCTCATCCTCCAACATGTGCATTCTTCTCAAAAGACAAGCCAGACTTCTATGGATCTTCATGAATTAAACCGGCTTTTATAAATTTCCCAAATTCATACTGTGAAACAACTTCCCATGTGTATAATACCTCTCGCGCGTTTCACTGATCTGGCTTAGTCATAGAAACGCGTGAGAGGTTATATATACATGGGATGTTGTTTCACAGTATGTATTTGTTAAATGAATAAAAGTCGTTTTAATTTGTAATGTTCCCTATGTTTTGACATAGGAGTTTCCACCTTTCTTGATCCAGATGCAACATTTAGTTTTAGCACTAATATTGTTTAGGATTACCTCTGCTCTTATTGGCTGTATTTTCACTGCTATTTTGTCAGGTTTGTAATAGCATCTTTTTTTATTTGTTTGCAACAATTTGCTACATCTTTAACATCCATACTTTCATTACTGGCACATATTTATACTTATAATATCCTGTCAAAAGTCCATTGAAGTGCTATGATATTGGCTTTTTAAACAATTTTAGCAAAATTAATAGCATTGGTCACTTTAAATGAATGATTGTTTGGATTTTACATTATAATGCTATATTAAAAGTTCTATTACTTATGCTGTGTTTATTTTATTATTATTATTATTATGTTCAGACCAAATGCAATTGTGTCATTTTAAATGATATAATTTGAAAGAGCTCAGTTCTAATGCATTATCTTTTAGTAAGTAGTTAGTTAAATTATACTGTGCTGTTGTGTCAGAAAATAAGTAATAATCTATTATAACTCACATCTTGATCACTTTAAATAATTATTGTCTTCCTCATCCAACTTATCCTATGTGTAGAACCACATTACAGGTAGAATCAATTAAATCTTTGTTAATAAATGTATCCTACTCTTGGGTACAGTACAAGAGGGTAAGATTTTTGTAGGTTTTTAAACACGAATGATGTCCCCAACCCGACATGAATGTGAAAACAATGTTTGCATTAATGACAGATTTCAGGAGAGTTTGAAAATAATGTGATGCATTTTTAAAAACTTGTGGTCATATGAACATTTAGTCATATAAAGCAATCTTTTGTTGTCAGGTGGGAAATGTCCAAAAGCATGTCCTGACCACTGTTGGGGGCCAAAAGAAAATCAGTGCCAAAGATGTAAGTAGATTTTTTTTTCAAAGTAATATGTATTTGTTAATTTATATGAAAGTGTTACAAATAACAGCTAAGTAGGAGAGGTTAATTTGACATGATTTGTGATTGGACATAAGCTGAATTTATGCAACTAGATACAATATACAAATTGAGTCCTTAATTATGTGTATGAGCATAGACTTGTTTCATTCCCCCACTTCATGTGGACAAATAAACTAGAGGTGCACCGAAATTAACATTTCAAAACCGAAATAGAAAAAAATGTCAGGCCGAAACCAAAACCGAAAAGGTTTTTTTATTTTAACTTTTTCACATTTTCAAAAATATTTTATTTTCATTAATTTTTTATATTGTTATTTATTCATTTTTTTTTTATATTTTTATTTTTTACTTTACTTTTAGGTGCTTCAGGGAAATATTAGGCTCTTGATATTTCCCTACTAAAAAAAGAAAAAGAGATTGAGGACACAGAGTCCTCAATCTCTTTTTCTGCAGCCCCTGTTATAAATGAACAGGAATCCCCTATGAGTGTTCCTGTTCATTCATAACATGAAAATATAGTTTACTATAACCCCAATCATGAATGAACAGGAGGTGATGTAGATCACTCCCATTCATTCATATTTGAGGCTATAGTAACTATACTATGTCTTAAATTATTTACAAACACTTAGCGATCACTGATCGCTGAGTGTTTGTACCTTGCTCTACTTCCTGACATGCTGTCACAGGAGGCTGAGCGAGTGTAGCTCAACCTGCTGTGATAGCGCTGGCTGTCTCCACCCACGCTGCTCTCCTCTGATCTGTGACAGGAGACTGAGCGGTGCGGGGAGGAGAGACTTCGGCCGCTCACAGCGCTCTCCTCCCGCAGCGCTCAGCCGCCTGTAAACGAGCAGCGCCAAGCGGGGAGCAGAGAAATGGATGCATCGCTGTATCGGCCAGAAAATGGCACTGTCGGCATTATGCCAAAGTGCCATTTTCTGGCCGATATGTTTCGGTGGCCGATATATCGGTGCATCCCTAAAATAAACGTTTTCATTCCATCATAATTTTAGTTTTAACTTTAAAGAAGTAGATGGTCAAATGTATCTTATATTACACCATTGCAGTTTATATTGCACATTAAATGTTGAAGTTGATTTTTCTGTCTGTGGCTCTTGCTGCATACTGTACAAACAGCACCTGTTGGATGTTTTGTCTTTTTTTTCTTAGAGAATGCAAACTGTACAGCTAATATCCAATTAGGATAGGGAAAAATCTAGTAAGACTTTGGTGCAAGAAGCAAGAAAATAGCTGAAACAGCATCCCAAATCAATCAGGATCGCCCAGGCACTTTCACGGCACGCAGCATCTTTAATTAAAATCTGTGTATTGTGCTAATAACTTTGCATGTTCATAAGTCTCCCGTATTGATTTAATTTGTCCACCAGGCCGGCACTCGCAGGAGCAGTGTAATGCCTGGACACGGTGTAAAATTAACAGAAACATTTCGGCGAAAATGGGGTTGATTCCCCCAGGCTCATTGATGCCGAACTGTGATTTTCATTGTAGCACTGTTGTCTACGTTTTAAAACTTGCTGTGGGGCATCTCAAGGCTAATTATTATTCTGGATGGGTTATACGTGCTATGTCTGCCATTTCTGTTTAGGTGACATTAACATTAGGAGGCTATTTAACTGGCACGTAAAAATAGTTGGACACACACACACACACACACACATATATATATATATATATATATATATATATACACATATATATCCACAAAGGTTCAGAGGGCTTAGGCATAAAAGGCAAGATCTAATGGGGGGAGGTGACATACCGCGGTTCTTCCTAGGCACTAGAGAAGACAAAATATCTATAAGGGTGAGGGAGAGCTTTATAGAGTTAGAGATATTAATTAGTCACAGACAGAAGTCCAGTGATCGGTTCCTTTTATTGCTAATGATCCTATTTTCTCAGAGAAGGATCCAACCTTTCATCAAGATATTAAACATTATAGAGGCAAGACCACAAAGCTGGGAAATAATGAAGTTTATCATTCCACTGGAGACAGCCAAGGCCAAATTAATAGATTGTGATAACATTGGCACATCTGGATGATGATGTTCTTTTGTGCAAGATCCACCTTCTGTGTAATTTTTCATGGCCCCTGAACTGTGAAGAAACCTCAGCATTCCCTACATGCAATTACACCTATAGTTCGCTAAATTTAGGTTCAAATGTCCAGAGACTGCCAAAAGAGGAGAGCAAAATAAGGAAACGATCTAATAATTTGTGCATTTTGAGGCTTGTTGCTGCCTTCTTTAACCCTTCTGCCCTAGCTTCTGGCCAGTGCCACAGGAGAGACACTATGTAGATTGCATGTGGCCCTCTTCATCTTTATTATCTCTAATATTCAGCCTTGTTTATATGACTTACTTTAGATCCACATAAATTAGTATTAAAATACCTTTATTAACCCTAGGGAAGATATGCTTTGATGGTGTTATAATTAGCTTTCTCTTATAAATGATATTTTCTTTTATTGAAAGTTTATTTATGATGAACATGGAGTAGAGGTCCTTTGAAAAGATGGGAGTTCTTCTATATGACCTGTCTAATTCAGTTTCCTATTCTAGGCCAGAACACTGGGAAGAGGATCTTTAGGTGGATAGGAATTCTCACATTCTCACAGAACTGGCTATTGCATTTGTTCTGCAGAGATTGTCTTGCTACAGCAGTCTTTATAAATTAGAGTATTAAGGTTGCTAGGGGTTCCTTGAGCAGTATCAGAGTGATCTGCTGCCTGGCTGTATCAGCATAGTTTTGATGATAACTATGCAGGCACTTTTCTTGAAAGCTTCAGCAGCATGGTATTAGTGCAGCCATTCCTCTAACAAGTAACCACTGAGATCAATGATTCCAGTAAGGGGAGCATTCTTTCCACTGACCAATGTATTAAAACACATTCTCCCTGACCATCAATGTTAGGGGACTCCTCTTCCACTGACGAACAATGTAAGAGGGCAAAACGCTGATGGCTGGCCAACAAATGTAAGAGATAATTTATCAGCTGACTACCAGTGAAAAGGGATACTACAATTTTCACAAACTGCTTTTCATTTCTGGCCATCATTATTAATTTCATGAGTGTTACTAAAAATAATATTGTCATGTATAGCAGTGCGGTGCCAAAACAATTATCCATGATGGATGTCACATAGGCTAAGTATGCCACTATTCATTTGTTACATCTTATTGATCACACAACTTATTGATCACTAGGAGTTTAAGATAAAAAACTTTTTTAGCAGGGGTTCCCTGGGACCTACAAATTTGTCCAATGACTTCAATAGGCTAGAAAGCCTAAATAATATAATACCTAAGTCAGAGTTTTGTTTTCAAAGCACAAATTCAATTACCAGTTGAGGATAATGCCTAAGTCAGAGTTTCATTTTGCCACTGGGGGAATTTTGCCTCTCCCTTGCCCTTCCCTAGTTAGATCACACTTTCAGCATACAGAGTGGTCTTTCCCAGTGAGATCCCACCCATAACACACAAACTGGCCTTTCCACAGTGGGAGCCTAACTCCAACATATACACATTGCTCTTTCCCGTTTCCCTTCTCCACACTCAGTTTCCAGTTTCTCCTACAGAGGCTCCTCAGTCTGCAGTCACACACTACCACCACACAAATTGCATATTGAATGTTGTCCATGTCCTCCCCAAACATATTGCACACTAAGCCCAGACACACAGTCTAGAGCAATGATGGCGAACCTTGGCACTCCAGCTGTTTTGGAACTACAAGTCCCATGAGGCATTGCAAGGCTCTGACAGCCACAGACATAACTCCCAGAGGCAGATGCATGTTGGGATATGTAGTTTTGGCACAGGTGGAGTGCCAAGGTTCGCCACCACTGGTCTAGAGGTTCAACAATCATATATTTTCCCTGTATCCTGCCCCCCGCACGCACACACATTACTCTCTAGTATCCATACCAAGAGTAAGATGGCCCTCCAGCACATAGAACTCAAGCCATTTGTTCACCAGCAGAGTATGTGCATTAACCCTTCAGTGACTAACCAGCAGTATGTGTTCATGAACCCCTCAGTGATCACCCTTCACAGAATGCTTGTTAACCCCCCAGTCACCTATCTCCAGCTTAAAAACATTAACCCCTTCTTGACCTGTCTGCAGTGTATGTGATCTCCTTCAAGAGCATGTACATAAATCCCTCAGTAAGAAATATTTAGTGTGTGTGCGGTAACTGCAGTATCCTGTCCCCATGATATAAGGATTAACCAATTCATCAGCCCATGTGTGTTATCTCCTCAGCACTGACAATAAATTTACCCGCGATACTCAGCACATAATGTATGTGCTTAAACCTACTCTTCTGCCTAAGTACTTACCCCTCAGTGCCCAGTCACCGGCATGTGTTAGCCCTCAGCAGCTAGTCCCTAGCACATGTGTATTTACCCTTCCATATCCAGTGCATGTGTGTTAACCCCTCAGCACTTAGTCTCTAGTGCAATAATCTCTCACATTTATTCAGTGCACCTCACCAAATATCCCTCTAATCTCCACTAACTCTGGTGTAGTTGAAATCTCAGCTCCACTTCTCATTCCCACGTTCCCAGCAACACCTCAGCTGTTCCTGGACTCCATTACATAGTCCATGCTAATGTCTGCTTTTCAAACTTGATTGTCCCCAGTTCCATTAATACATTTCTCCTGTTTCATTCTTGGTCCTCCCAACCATCTTCACAGTTTGTGGACCACTGCTGTATCAGCAGATGCGCAGACCATAGGAGATCAAAATGTGAGTGAACTGATTGTTGTCATACCCTCCCAACTGATGGTTGTCATACCCTCCCACTCCACCTCCCACTTGTAACCATACACTCTGCACTCTTCTACTGCACATAATGTTCCCTGTCATATCCTCCACACTAATCTCCTGTACATACTGCCCACCGTCATACCATCCACACTCCTCTCCTACACATACCACCCGCTATCATAGCCTCAGTACTTCTCTCCTGCACATACTGTCTACTGTCATACCCGCTGTATGCCTCCCCTGCACATACTGACCTCTGTCACACCCTTATCTTTGGCAAATACTGACCGCTGTCATACTTCTGCACTCCTCTGCTGCACATACTGTCTGCTGTCAGTTTATTTACATAATTTTTCAGCATATATTGTGCTCTAAGACACTTTTTTAGCATTGTTTGTTATATCCTCAACCGTTCCCATTCTGGAACAGGAACACTTTTGCTAGTGTTGACAAAGTCCGTGCTAGATGAAGATGCAATCTGTAAACTTCCCTCTAGGAAAATGAAGTGAAATGGTCACTACCAGCCTGTAAATGGCTAACACAACTGCCAAAGGACTGAAGCACACTTCCCATTACTAGACACAGAAAAAATCTAGACGTCAGTTTTTTCCTGGTGCAGAGAGGATAACATGGAACGGTTCACCCAGTTTTAGGTGACTCATCACAATGTGTTTTATTTGTTAATGAAGTATGTGTAGCAGACACAAAGAGGTTGATTTAGCTAAGGCCTGGTTCACACCTGGGCGTTTTACAGCGCGTTCCTACACTCTGTAAAACGCTCAACATGTGAAAACCAATGATTGCCTATGGGCATGGTTCCTACCTGGGCGTTTTACAGCGCGTAGGAACGCGCTGCAAAACGCCCTACGCCCAAAGAAGTACAGGATCTTCTTTGGGGCATATTTGCCGCTTGTATCCATTGGGATACAGCCAGGTAGCCCTCGGAAATGCGCGTTTGTCGCGCGTTTTTTACCGCAAATTGCGGTAGAAACGCGCATATTTGATACGCCTAGGTGTGAACCCAGCCTAAGAAATAGAGGTTGTTCAGTTAGCATAGTAACAGGGCTATTCACAAAAGGGAGAAGACAGGAGAAGTGAACAATCTATGCCAAAATAGCTGATTTGGAAAACTTCTCCAATTCAGCTCAGCTATGTTGTCCTGATTGTCCACTTCTCCGGCCTTCTCCAAACTCTTCATCCTTTTGTGAATAACCCTGTAAATGTTTACTTGGGAAAGTGTCTGTTAGTGGATGCTATGAGCCTGTGAATATTATTTAAAAACAGCATTTTTGTACATTACTGGTTGATTGCACTAAACAAAGCTTTATGTTAATTGCAATACACCCTTTGCAAAGTAAACATTCACTTTACTAAGTGAATCAACCCCAGCACATGCATGAGTACCTGGAATAAAAGTGCTGTATTTCTACTTGTTTTATTTTGTGCCATTGTCAAATTCTTCAAATCAGTAAATCAGTTATTAATATGGATACTTTAAAGCATAAGAAAGAAGAGAGTGCACAGACATTGTATAAAACCAGCAGTATGTTTATGATATTGAAAACAACATTACACACACACACAAATGCATAACAGGGAAGTAGTGCTTTAGGCCTTGTACACACCAAATGCAGACCAGATCTGCATGAGTTTCTGCACACGCAGTGCAATGTGTTATACTGCATTTTTTGCCACGCTTTTGATGCCGTTTTTGTTTTTTTACGATTAAAATGGTCTTTCAGTGCGTACCAGGGCGTTTGCATGCATTTTTGATGCGTTTGCATGCGTTCCATAGCGTTTCAGAGCAGGTACAATAGGGCTTGCTGCAGTTTTTTTACATGCACTGGAACTGAACGCTGCCGTGTGAACTAGAGCCCAAAATACTATTGGAATACATTGGACGCAGTTTTGATCCGGTCTGTAACAGATCTGCTCTGCTCCCGGAACGCCACAGTGTCCAACAACTGATAACCTCTACATCGTGGTGCTAACGGCAGCAGAGATAAATAAAATGGTGTGGCTAACTGGAAGCCTTGGCTGGAACAGCAGTATTCACTCTATTGGGACTGATTCCAATTCTACATCCGTTACAATACTGTGAATTTTGGGCCACTGTTATTTTACTGTAAAACATTTACTGTAAAACATTGTAGTAATTATTAAGATGAACAGCGAAAGATCAGTTCTGATTGGTGGTTATGGGTTACTACACTTTGCACATTACTCTTTGCTTTATTAAATAAGCCCGAGGTCATACATCTGGATTGGCATGTTTGAAAGTGGTAAAACTGCACTGTAATGAATTCTGTCATTCTCTCCCCTAGTGACGAAGATTGTGTGCGCTGAACAGTGTGATGGCCGCTGCTATGGACCTTACGTTAGTAATTGCTGTCACCGGGAATGTGCTGGAGGCTGCTCTGGACCTAAAGACACTGACTGTTTTGTATGTTGCCTGTCATTTCACTTTCTACCCTCCGCAATTCTTCTCAACCTTGATTTAATATTCCGATTCCTACTGATTCTCCATCCTCATGCATTTTGTCTCCAAACAAAGCTGTTCATTTAGCCCTTTCATATATTTCTCCCATTGCAACTTGTATTACCCATCAGCCTTCATTAGCTCTGGCAGATTTTATAAGTTTTACAAATAAGAAATTGAACGTATCTATGTGCTAATGCATATGATTTATGGCTTTCGCAAGAACACTTTGCAGATTTAAAAATTACCATTTTGCTTTGCTTCCAAATCCCCACCACCTGCTTCATAAAACATTTTTAACATCCATCAAAAAGAAGTTTTTTCATGTTTGGTTAGATAAATCTGTAACATAAAAGAAACATAACCGTATATTTCCCAGTGTTAAAAATCATTGTAATGTGGTAGCTGCTGAATTCAATGGTAACATACAGGAAGCCATGAAACAGATTGATTTGAAAGTGTAGCTGTGTGAAACTTGTCCATAGTACCCAATGCATGGACAGATCAGACTTGCAGTACCTAAGCAGAATAGCTCTAATTTTGTCTAGGCTGTGATATAGTCTGTGGCAGTGACGTGCGGTACCTTCGCTTCTTGGTGAGGCATTCCCGCCCCTGCCTCCAGCATAAAGCGCTACTTTAAAGTCCTAATGAAGAAATTAAAAAAATAATCCTACTCTCTTCAGATTTTGTTACCTTGAAACAGAATCCTTTCTTCAAGTTTTGGCATAAAATCTGAAACGTTCCTGTACCTGACCTTTATTTAACAACTCTTCTGAGCAGTCCCAATTAGAAAACTCAATATTACTTTGCAGTCAGTACTGTCTTGACCCCATTTACTTTCTTTTGTCAAGTTGGAAGAATACATTTTCTTTAACTTACAGACATGCTTTACAAGTCAAATTATATTTCTTACATTCTAGAAACATTGTAAAAGTTGCAGATCTGTGGTTGATAGTGGGGGTACACCACATTACATTCCAGTTTAGTATAGTCAGATGAGTGAAAGATTAATTTTAACTGGCTGTTTTAGGCCTGATTCACACCTGGGCGTTTTACAGCGCGTTCCTACGCGCTGTTAAACGCTGAACATGTGAAAACCAATGATTGCCTATTGGCATGGTTCCCACCTGGGCGTTTTACAGCGCGTAGGAACGCGCTGCAAAACGCCCAAAGAAGTACATGAGCGTCTTTGGGGCGTCTTCGCCGCGTGTATCCATTAGGATACAGCCGGATAGCCTTCGGAAGCGGTTCTTTTACCGCAAATGTGCATATTCCGTACGCATAGGTGTGAACCCAGCCTTAGAGTTACCATTGAAATTGCTCTTTGTCTCACTCAGCTTGTGCACATGCTTTCCATTCGGGTTGATTTACTAAAGGAGTGGAGACTGTTCACTTAGCAAAGTAAATGTTCACATTGGGGGACATTAATAACGAAAAGTGGATATCATTATCCATGTCCCGCTCTATTCTGCAATGTTAGCCTTCACCGTGACCTGCATTTTACTGCCCATTCATAAACTGCAGGCTATGGCCTGGAGCCTGCAGTATCCTACAGAGTTCTGTCACCTAATGAAGGAGAATTAATGTGACTGAAGTATAGGCCAGCCACTTGAGTTTGACAGGTTATGTGACCAGGGCTCTTCTTTTCATTTGCTCTTCTATTTAGAAAATAACACTTTGCTGGGTTTGGAGTCCTGAAGCCAGGGAAGCACTGAGCACAATTGTAAAGAACATTGCTTTGCTTTATACATTTCCAGGAAATATTTTTAAGCAACAGCATGACCATAGTTAGACCACAGTGCTGCTTTAAAAATGTCCCCCAGTGTTTTGTACGTTAGCCAACAGTGTGTTCACTTTGAATACCCAATCTTCTTGGAGCGGCCACTGGGGGTGCCCTTCTAAAGTCCATCCCATTCTGCTGTTTAGCCCGGACAGAGTGGCGTCTAGCAACTATAGCTTTTTTCAGAATGGCCTTGTAGGACCTACAGGTATGCAATGGGAAAAGGGAGAGCTTTTTTTAACATCTGAACAGTGCTTTGTGCTGGGGATGATGAAAAGTATGTGGGATTGTTTTGGAAAATGTGCTGAAAGGATAATTAACCCTGTAAGTGAACAGTCTCTACTCTTTTGGCAAATTAACCCTATTGTATGAAAATCTAAAATCTATCTTCATAAATGAAAAAAAAACAAAACAAAAAGAACTGTCCCTCCATAATTTAAAACCGATCCTCCTTAATATCACCATTTGACATTCTATGCATTACAACACTTTATTGACTACCCATTCTCATATTCACTATGCCTCCAGATTATCATTGCTTGGAAAATCTGAAACAGTCTGAAAACACACAAGGGTGAGGTATCTTCAGACAAGATGTGCTATGATTATTTTATACACAGAGGCTTAGAGATGTTCTGACAAAGCTCATGATCATACAGTGACAGGAAAAACCCTAAATTGTTGTGTTAGCCAGTTCAGAATTTTTGATCGGACAGTAAGGGAACACATGCCAGTGTGTTATTGATATTGTTTTTCACCATCCCCTAAACAAGGTAACATCCTTCACTTGATATTTGCATTCCCTATCTATATGTTTTATTCCTGTCCACTATTTAAAAAAAAGCTAAATGTCAAAGAAAAAAAAAACAATAACAGGAGCAAAGTTTTACAGAATTCTATACATTAACCTAACAAAGGCTCTTTCATGGAGGGTGGGAGGGTGACGTCCCCCAGGAGACATCAGACCTACTTTCCCTCTTGTAGAAATGATAACCTCCCCCTGTGCAGATTCAATAGAAATGAATGTCAGCCCTGCTCCCTAATTGGTAGTTTCAATTCCCAGCTGGATTTTAAACGGGTGGTGTAGGAGAGCAGCGGGCCAACCCTCCGAAGTACAGATCATTAGGGTGTTCAGCGGAAATATAGGCAGCATCGGCTATTAACTGCTGTCACCAGCACTACTCCTCAGCCTGCTGCTGTCAACTACTGTCATCAAAATATTTATTTTTGCTTGCTGCTTTTTTATAAAGAGAATAAATAGAACTTTTTAGAACATTTTCTATAAATGACATTTGGCAGCAGAATAGCCTCCCTTCTCATTTCAATGCAAAGACTTTGTGTTCCTTCTGTCAACCAAACCCGGGGGTGGCTGGACTGGATCTTAAGTTTGCTGGGGACACAGACACGCTGGGGAATTGATAGGCGCTGTGTTTGTTACAGCAAGGGAAATTAACTAGTGGACTTTTTTTTTTTTATTGTGAAAGTATTGAGCACATTTCCCAAATCATCTTGATGTCTGAAACAGTAAACAATTAACATTCTCGACCTGTTCTCTCTTTTCAGGCCTGTCTGAAATTTAATGACAGTGGATCTTGTGTCACCCAGTGTCCACAGCCCAATATATATAATCCAACTGCCTTTCAACTGGAGCAAAATCCTAAGGCTAAGTACACCTATGGAGCTTTCTGTGTCAACAAATGCCCACGTAAGTTTATTTAAATCTTGTTATGGGACAAGTGCCTTTGTAATCAAGGATGTTTCTTGAACATATTACACAATGGGGTCTATTCACAAAGCTGCCGAAGGATCTATCCGTAGCTTCGGCCGATCCTTCGGCTAGCTTCGGCCCCAGGACCCCTTCGGTTCTACTGAAAGCCAAAGCTGGCCGAGCGGCCGTCCATTTGCCGGCCGACAGCCTGCTTCTGACGGCTGGGCGGACACTCATTGAATATTCACTGCAGGTGAATCTTCCTAGTGTGTGGTTAAATTACAGTGAATGATTAACCACCTGTGAATGTTTGGTGAATGGCACATTAATTGCTTTATAAATATGCCCCTAAGAGCTTTAAAGCACCACGGAATGCCATACGGTGGATGCAAAAGCAATCAACATTTTGCAGTCAATAAAAGTTATATAAAAACATGAGATTCTTATATAGTGTTGTACCAGTGTAACTTTTTTAAGTCAAAAGTAGAATATATGTTTCAGTTTTGGAAACCACATTTTTTAAATAAAGTAGGAGTTTTGGAGAAGGTTGAAATGTACAAATAATTTCATAAAGGGATGTAAAATATTACAATGAAAGAGTAGAAAAGCTGGCAATGTTTTTTTTTCTACAGGTGGGCTACTTAGTAAAAGTGGCCCTGTGGTGACAGGGACACTTTAAAGGTCACTTAATTAACATGTTCCAATATTTAATGCATACACGCAATAGGTTGGACTTGATGGACTTATGTCTTTATTCAACCTCAAATACTATGTAACTATGTAACTATATACAAGGCCAGTATTAAGATTTGCCAAGTGTACTTTTAAACCCAACAACTGCATGATGGACATAAATAGATATATATAAATTTTCTATATGACACATTTCATTTTAGATTTAGAGCTCTCATGGGCAGGGCCCTCCTTGCCATCTTCTCTTGATTTGTATTGTAACAGTAATGTCCTCCTTATATTGTAAATCCTGTATTATAAAAAATAATAATAATTTGACATCTGTTTAGGAAGTGGCTCTTCACAGTAAGGGTGGTAAAGCCATGTAATACTGTACTGCATAAGGTAGTGATGGCAGAAACAAAAAGATGAAAAGGGAATCAACGATTTGCAGCTATGCATATCCCAATGTATAATTTCTAAAGGCTAACATGGCATTTCTTCTATTGGGGGATTTTTTTAATGTCCCTGAGGATCAAGAAGCATGATTCTTTCTCCTACGTGGCAGACTTAACAACAGTTGTATAGACGGGCTTGTTTTGCCTTCCTTTGGACCAAAGGAGTTAGGAAAGGTTGCAGGAGTTATAACTGATTGAACCTTTGGGTTGAGTCTTTTTCAGCCTTTAAAATGAACAACTAAGCCAACTCTGCCAGCCAGTCCATGGTGAACCACAATCCTAAAGCAATTAGGCAATGCTAATATGTTCATTTAAAAACAATTGATTTGGGCTGTGTTTGTGTTACAAGCAGTCTTGTATTTCATATCCTTTATGTATATGAGCTGGCAGAGATGTGACAGAAGAATTTGTTCTTCCACATTTACAATACACTGCATGGAAATATGGTGCATTTTGACCAAATATTTAAACACTAATGTTTCACATTTCTAGATAACTTTGTTGTGGATGACAGTTCATGTGTGAGGGCATGTCCAAGTAACAAGATGGAAGTGGAAGAAAATGGAATCAAAATGTGTAAGCCTTGTGCTGGAATCTGTCCGAAAGGTAATGATGATCATCTCTTCAGATAGAATTTGATACTTCATGTTTATAGTTGAGATGTTTCTAATGCAAGCGTCAAGTGCTTCTGTAACACCAGAGTACAAATTACCATGTGTTTTGTAGTTTTTTACTGATCACATAATCAGGGTCATATTTTATATGTATTTCAGCCCAACACGCAAGTGAATAAAGCCAACTTAAATAATACCTGAATCTTCTGCTGCCTACCTGAATTAATGAGAATTATTTCATAAGATTGCCCTTCCTCCCCTTTCTCTGTTGTAAGAGGAACAGTAGTAGTACTGTTTACATTTATGATTGCTGTGATTGTTCATTCACTTTCATCACAACAATCACAAGGCACCGAGCCACTCTGATCGTCTCTGTGCCTTTTGCCCGTGATTTTGCCGTCTAATGACAGCGAATCATAGGCATTGTATCTGCACTCGGTGCACACACTCACAGTAAACACTAGCAGGGTTATTCATAAAAGGGTGAAGAGTTTGGACTTTTTAAATTTCCACTTAGAATATCCAATCCCCCTACTGGCTGTTTTGCTACAATAGCCGGTCAGAGGTGGTTAAAGTGTATCTGCAATCCAAACACTGTATTATTTTATAGCTTTGAGTATGGATATGTTAAATGCCCTGTTGGGTTTTTATTGCCCCCTACGGGGAGATTCTCCCTCTCCATTTGTCCTGTTGACCATTATGCCAGAACAGAAAATTATTGGGAAATACAAAAAAGAAAAACCTGACAGAATTTAAAACTTTCTCTGCTCTGTCTGAAGTTCAAGAAAAAACGTTTTGGATATGGGTACACTTCAAAGTGACACTAAACTAAGGAGATAAACCTCAAAAATGCATTCAAGTACCATAACTGTTAACAAAAATGTCACTTATTCGTGCATCACTCTGTAGATCCTCAAATCATCTCTGAATTGGTGCTGACCCTGTCCTCTCTTCTGGAGGGTGGCTGTAGGGTGTTGTAAGTAGCTACCACTCCAAGCTCACTCCCGTGATGGACTACAGCCTCAATGCAAACTTGAGATTGTAGTCTATCACAGGAGAGAGCTTGGAGCGGTGGCTACTTTACAACACACACAAACTGATTAAAAAGTGAATCAGTTTACATCAGTTTGTCCATCCGTTGTCGGTTTAGATTACATCCATTTTTTACATGTCCGTTTTGGGCCTTTTGTTATTATTGTATGGTTAATTCCCATGATTCTTTGCTTTCCCCCAGCATGCATTGAGCTTACCAGGCTGCATTACGACATCAGTCCCAAAAATGGATATAACCTAAATTGATGAAAACTGATCATCAGTTTACATCAGGCTACATCAGTCTCAGTCAGTCAAAATGGAGAGCTGATCCATCTGAAATTGCGGACCTCAACTGTTGACACTGATGTTTCCTAATGTAAACCGATGGTCATCAGTTTAATGCGCACTGTCATAGAGATGCATTGTTGTCTGTTTTTCAACTGCACACGGAGGGTTGGAAAACTGACAACCTGAACGCTCGTGTGAAAGGGGCCTTACTGGTCAATGGATAGAGATGACGATGATGATGAATCTTTGTCCAGTGAGCAGGTTGGGACAGATAACCTAGGAAACTACAAAAGCTAAACCAGGTATACCGTATATACTCGAGTATAAGCCGTCCCGAATATAAGCCGAGGTACCTAATTTTACCAAAAAAAACTGGGAAAAAGTATTGATCCGAATATAAGCCGAGGGTGGGAAATGAGGCAGCTACTGGTAGATAGATACCAATAAAATTACATTAATATTTATTTAAAAGAAAAATAACCTAGCTCTGTAAGTGGAAAAGGGGGTACAGGGCTACATATCATGTACTACGGATCATTTAACCCATTCATATTAGAATCATGTCACCTGACTACCAGTACAGCATGATAGTTGTGTGCAAATCACAGGAAAAGCTGTACAGAATTACAAATCCTTTGGCAGGTAAAACAAGTAAACATTCATTTATTTCAATTATGTATTTATTTATGTAGCTGGAGTTTCATTTTACAATTGTGTACACATGGTTTAACTCAGTCAGTAAAGAGGCACAGGAAATAATATGTTGATAGGATGGCAAACGGTAGGGTGAAATGGAAGGTTGGTCTAGAATTTGTGCACTACGTCACACATTCCTATTTCTACCAATATGGGCATTATACCACATTGTATATTATTTATTTATATATTTTTCATTTTTGAATACAACACAACAACAGAATACATTTACAAGCCATAATTATGTAAACATTCTATAGGAAATGCAGATAACTGACAGACAGGCAGATATTTGTGATTTTATAAGGAATAAAATATCCATCTCTCTACAGACAGAAATGACACCCTGGGGAGATGTAAATTGCAACCTACTTAGTTGGAATATGCTATTTAGGCATTGAAATTCATGAAAACTTATAGCAAGCGCAGGATAATGTTAGTGATCTGGAAGCCAATTGTCCACAGACTGCAGTCAAGTTTAACCTGTCTGTTGCCTTAGTGTCTCAAGATGTGCTTACAGGAGGGATTTAAATTAGTATGATGTCTTGCTGTTACGAAAGCAAGCTGCATATAAATGATTGGAATATTCAAGGTGCTTCTGCTATGGCACTATAGCTTTTGGCATATTCTTACTGTCAAAATCGGTTGTGATAGTTTTTCACACTACCTTGGCAATTTAAACTGCATGCAATGAAAAACATGTCTGAGCAGAGATTACCTTCAGTGAAAACGCACATAAAAAATGAACAGTGGGTACAGATATATAGAAAGGTGAAGTTACAAGAAGATATTAACTTAAAACTCAATTTTTCTGATCCTCTCTATTGGTCGCAAGCTGATGAGCAGCATCCGTGAGCAAAATTTGGCTTACATATCACTAACATTATCCTGTGCTTGCTATATTACTTTGTAAAACTAGTGGTGAGATCATCACTGTGCTGATGATCTCATCTACATAGGCTGTGTAGAGAGCAGAGTTGTGGGAGGGGCCCTGCAGGCCCCACCCACTAACGGCTGCCTGCATAAAACTACAGGAGGGGGGCGGATACAAGACCAGTCCCCCTGCAGAAGAAGGGAAAGCATAGCTCTAGTTAAACTGAGACTTCAGCAGCCGCAGCCAGGACAAATCCTGACATTACTGTCGAGATCCACCCAGCTGCATGAGTGACAGCTGGCTCTGCCTTTTTAGAGTAGTACCCGCCCCCTCCCCCGTCCGTTCCTCCACTCAGCGCTGGATTGTCACAATTTCAGTAACCGCAAAACTCTAGCTGTTTGTATAGAAGGATTCTCATTCATATACACTGCTTCTAGATCTTTAACCCTTTGTTAGAGCCAACAGTGTTCAAATCTAGATTACAGCCAAGGATGAGATCTGTTGAGAGCAAAACAATACAGTCAGGGTTTATTATGTTGTCATTAAGCTACCGACTCCCCTTGCGTTCCAAATAAAATTTCAGTACAGAGAACAACTTTTCTTTCAGTATTCAGCATGTTTTGTGCAAGCAGCAATGTATTTATTTATTTTTAAGTGATGCTATGTGAATAAAAAACGTAACAGATATAAAATAGGTGTTATCCTAATTTGGCTGCAAATGTGGAAATACACTTTAAGTAAGACAATGATGACTTAGCAATGATCTCTTTACCCCAGTGTACTACCTAAATTGACCTTTGTTTACAAAGATCTTTTCTTTGTGGAAAGCTGGTGAAGTGACAGGTAGTGAGGAAGCTTTATTTGCTGTACAAAGCTTTCTCACTGATCTACTGGAGGATAGCAGACTGCATGTATACATCACACAGCAGGGACATACAGTAAGGTCCGTGCTAGGTTAGGCATTCCCCTGCCCGCCCCCACTCCTGCACCTAACCTGGTCATCGAATTGTGGATGAGGGAGGGAGGAGACAGGGAGGAGCCTCCATGTCACTTACTTGCTCGTCACTGGTGAGGCATCCAAATAGATGGCCTCTGTTTTCTTTTTTTTTTTTTATTGGACAGCTTGGACCAATGACGCTTTGCCATTAGTTCAAACCATCTACAAAGCTCAAGCCTCTAACACAAAGTAGAGGCTGTTGTAGCTCTGGCCTCACTATGTTAGGTCATACAAAGCAGTGGGAAAGACAGCTGCTATGTAACCTAACTTAGCTTCCAAAAGCCGGATTAAGCAATGCCTGTAATTAACAGGCAGCGTTCCATCCATAACAGGTTACACAGCGGGGAGGCTTTTCCTGCTGTGTAACCTGTTACAAGCCGGTCTAAATGGAGAAAAAGTTGTCTGCTTCAGACTTGAAGCGGGCAACTTTTTGTTCCATAATAGTAGGTGAGGCTCTGCCTCATCTGCCTCCCCTGATCGCACGGTCTCAAAGCAACGGGGAGCAACCCTTGTTTTAAACCTAGCCTAGCTTCAAATTGCAAACATTTTTATGGCACTGCAAAGCTAAGTTAGAGGACAGTTTTTTTTGTATTTGAATTGGCTGAGTCTGTGACAAGTTTACTGTAAATGGCATCCATTATAGTCTGTTGTTGTAATGCTGTGCCATTCTATTTCTCTCTCTAGTGTGTGATGGAATCGGGACAGTGTCCCTAAAATCATCTCAGACTGTGGATTCCAGCAATATTGACAAGTTTATAAACTGCACTAAGATTAATGGAAATCTCCTTTTCCTGGTGACTGGCATTGAAGGGTGAGTGCAAGATAAGAGTAAGAGTGGCAGTATCGCAAAGCTGAAATAGTATACGATATGTGAGATCCCAACTCTTCCTAAGCTTTCAGGCACATTTCCCTTTTGAGCTGTTATTTTCACTGCAGGCTGAATTTATCTTTGCCAACTCTGCACATAGAATTTGCTGAAAGCCCTATGGGTGAAGTGCTGAATTTGTATGCAAAAGCATCTGGAGTGAGCACTGAATGGGAAGTAATAAAATATGTCCTATAGTCTTTTGTCAAATTCTCATTCACTTCAAACACTGGAGGAAACTGCTCAGCATTTCAACCGTATGGCTTTATGAACCCTACGTACTGTGCCAGGTGAGCTTTGTTTAACATGGTGTGGATAGAACTCATCGTAAATGAAGCAATCCAATGAATCCTTAAACAAAGCAGTTATATGTATCACTATAAAAGACAACATCATTACGAAAAGGAACTTGTGTAGTGGGGATTTATGTGCGATTGAGCATATTCTAGTTTTCAAATTGCCCTCCATGTTTGCTTCTGTAGCTCTAGCTGTATAAGTGTTTAAAAGTCTTTATGGTTTTCAAACAGCAAACAATGGTAGTTATGTGGACAGCTCAGTTAATTTACATGTTTGCAGGAATCAATTCTTGATTTGTCATACTTCCTGATACTTCCTAATTCCGGATACTTTCTTATTACCGGCTACTCTGCGTTCATTTAATGCTTTTTTCATGCATTTTATCATTTTTGTTTTGTCCAATGAAGGTGAAATAAAGTACAGGATGTTAGTGAGTGAGGGCTTTATTCACACAAACGAGAGCAAGTGGCTCTAGGAATTGTTTATAAATAGACCTCATTCTGTCCTAGGATGACAATGATAATTAATTGTATAGTGTCTATGGAGAAGCAGTGTAGTCATCCTAGGTCAGGAAGTGTTTTGGAACTGTAGAACACCTCACCCTCTCCAACTTCATAACAAAGGAGGGAGGTCTGTAGTCTGCAGTGAGAACTAGAGACAATGCTAACTGAAAGCAGTTAGCACAGGCAAGGAACACAGGTGGTTATCAGCTCATAATATGTCTAGCAGGATTATCAGGTACTGTTAATTTTCAAACAAATATAACAAACCACTTCCAAAGGTATATGTAACTCAGGGACGTTTGGTCAGGGAAGGCAAGTGAGGCAGAGCTTCACCTAGTATTATAGAGGAAAAAGCTGTCAGCTTTGAGTCTGAAGCTGACAGCTTTTTCTCCACTCAGAATGACCTGTCAAGGATGGAGCACTGCCTGTTAATTACAGGTGGTGCTGCATCTGGCTTTTGACAGCTAAGTTAGGTTACACAGCAGCGGGCTTCCCCACTGCTTGTGTAGCCTAACATAGTGAGGCAAGAGCTGCAACAGCCTCTACTTGCTGTTAGAGGCTTGAGCCCTGAGGATGGTTTGGACCAATGGCAAAGCGCCATTGGTCAGGGGGAATGCCTCACCCAGCACGGAAGGTACCGCACCTCATTGATTTAACTGACCAAAGGGGACCAGGTAGGAGAAGCTTTTTGATAGGGTTTTCAAAAACTTTACCTATAACTGTGTGATATATATATATATATGTGTGAAAGATCAGTATAGTAAATATTGTTGGGGTAGGCTGTTGCATCGGTTGCATTGCTAACAATAATTAGGCAGTGTAGCAAATGTGGAAGCACTAACTCACAATGCATGGTCAGTTCTGGACATTTAGAGCATGCTGGGAGATGTGTGCAATTGGTTCATTATTTTTTCCTATTTCTCTGCAAGACCTAATTGTCAAACCTAATGCTGTTCTAAGGTGGTCCTGGCGGTACCAAACACGTTTCAAGGACAGCAAATCTTGCATTCTTTTAAGATGCGCCTGTCTGTTGCAAGTCATGGGAGAATATATAAAAAAACAAAACAGAACACTGCATTAGTTTTGGAAACCTGCTCATTTAAAATCGACTTTATTTCTGTGATCAGGCCCTTTATTCAGTAATGAACCGCTTGTGTAAAGATATTATTATTCCTATGATAGACAGAGGAAACTACCACTTTTGCCTGTGATACGAGCGAGTCCTCTTGGGAGCAGCATTCATTCAAATGTTTCCCCTCTGTAGTCCCCTGTCACACTCCGTCATACATTGTGCCCGCCAGTATTTCACAAGGACGGATATCATTAGCACGCCTCTGCTGGGAGGTGCTTTTGATCTACAATTAAGTAACGAAGTGTGACAAGCATAGCTAGTATAAGGGAACAGACGGATCCCAGTGGGAATATCAGGGCTCCAGGCATGGAGCTGTGAGCCACCAAGTCACTGGAGAAGTGACAAAATCCACAATTAGAACAAATCAAATCCCTGAGAGGTGCAGGCCTTGATTGAGCAGTGAGATGGAGAGGAAGAATATTCATTGTAATGTATATTGTGACCTTGAGTGCTTCAATGTCATTAAAAGTCAATTTTCTTAGGAAACCTGAAAGCACAAAGGCAGAACGTGAATTGGGAAGTGACTTTACATTGTCAGAAATATACATACTTCTTTTTTTGTGACATGGTATAAGATGATTGTGAAGTCATATTGAGTGCACTTTTTATTACTGGATTATGTAGGTTAACTCAGTAACAATGGGTAAGAACGTTACCTATTAATTGTGAACATTGTTTTTCACCTTTCAAGTAGGGTTGCACAGATACCAAGTACAGTACTCGGTACAAGTACAAGTACATGTACCGATACTTTCGAGCTCCAAGACTAGACTAGAGAAAAATTCAACAGTTAGGAGGCCGCTGTCATTTGTAAGGAGCACACAGAGCTCCTGGGATTTCTACATCTCTGTTTTTTATATATAAATATAAATAAATATAAATATAAATAAAGGGATGCACAGATACCAGTTTTGCGAGTATGAGTACTGGTACTCGCCGAGTACTTACAAGTACGAGTACTGATACATTTTTGTTTATTGTCATGTGACAGTTTTTCTAAAAAAATACAGACTAATGATTTCAGGACAGTGGTGGAGCGCCAGAGCCAGGTCCCAGCTGCAACCGCTGCAACCCTGGTAGTTCTCATGATAATGCCAAGTATCTGCACTGGTACTCGAAAAGTATCTGTGCATCCCTACTTTCAAGGATCGCTATCACAAATGCCTGTATTCTGATAGTTGTATAAGATTAATTCCTGTAATGACAGTATTCAGTAGGAATAAGTGGGAAGTTTTGCCAAAATTGTCCTTGCCATGAAAACATCGATTTCTTGCTTTTGCAAAATTGGTTTAAAATTAACCTCTGGTTTGTGACACTGTGAGGTGAAATTATAACAATCACAGCCATTGTGTGAAAGACATTGGGCGGGATTTATCAAAACTAGAGCAGACAGTAATTAGAGCAAGTTGCCCATGGCAATGCATCAGCATCTCTTTTCAGTTTGTTCAGTTAAGATTTGAAAATGAAAGAGAGAAGCTGATTGGTTGCTCATGTTGCTCCAGATTTTGTCTGCTCCAGTTGTGATAAATTCCCCCTGTTGTCTATAAGCAAAACATTGTCAGACCCTGTTGCTCTGTGATATGACTGGGTTTGTAAAGAAAGTCATTTCACATTCTTCTCTCTGTGATATGGCTTTGTTTATAAACACTCTGTCATTATGTGACATAGTCTGTGAAGGTTCTCATTCATCCAGGTCATGGTATATCTGTAAAAAATAAGTCAAGGAAACTGGACTTGCTGTAGTGAAGACGTTTCACTGGTCATCCAACCAGCTTTCTCAATTCAGAATGACTTGTACAAAACGTCTCTGGGAATAAATATGGTGAATGTTGCTCCAATCCACATAATCTGTTAGTTACAACCAGGTGTTGATTGTATTTGCATAATTGGAGCTAGGAGGTGTTAACAATCTGCCCATAGAGAGGTGTTAAAACAGCTGATTGGGTGTTTACTTTTCCCGCCATAACTAGGTTACGAATCACGTCAATATTAGTCCTAAGATCTTCCTAGTGACAGCAATCTCCAGGAAGAACTGTAGTATGACAGCTTGCAAGGGTAACCTGAAACAGATAAATGGGGAAATCAGAAACAGCACACAGAAGGTTCTAGAAAATGCTGTACATTAACTACAACTAAAATGACAGTCTGACACAATCTCATGGGGCCACTTTATTATATTTGTGGCCCCAGCATTGTATTTCTTTCTAGGTGCACTCAATGTGCACTTAAAAGAAATACGTTTCTTAAAGTAGACAGTTCCCGGAGAGTTTAGTTTGCTTTTCTTACCCTCAGGAGCCATTTACGCCTATTGTACCCTATCCAGCAAAGGTGACAGAAGGTTTGGGACAAACTTTAACACTGCCAGGGGAGCATACAACATTCACTTTAATTACTGGGGTTATATTTGATCCAACTCCTATAACTGGGACTTTTCCTTGACAACTTGGACTTCGTATAAATGTTGAGAACAATATACAGTAATACCTTGGTTTACAAGTAACTTGGTTTGAGAGTGTTTTGCAAGACAAGCAAACATTTCTGAAAAATGTTGCCTTGATATACAAGCAATGTCTTGCAATAAGAGCAAAATTTTGTAGAAAAGCACCACCCGAATAAGGCTGTAGCAGTGCGAGTGTCTGTTTAACGACATTGGATAGATTCCTTTAGTGATAGTGAAAGTCGTCCTACACAATAATCCTCCTCTTAATAATCCTCCCTTGTCCCCCTCACACCAGCCACGAAGGTATCTGTAATTGGTTTATTTGTCTTTATATTTTGTACAGTATTATATTACAGTATTGTAATAAGTTTTATATGAATATTTTTGGGTTGTGGAACGAATCATCTGAATTTCCATTATTTCCTATGGGGAAATTTGCTTTGATATACAAGCGCTTTGGATTACAAGCATGCTTCCGGAACGAATTATGCTCGTAAACCAAGGTATTACTCTAATTGAAGATATGCAAAATAAAATAAATAAATACATATATTACTATTATTATAACACTTTG